TCTGCGCTGTGGGGGAGGGGTGTGTCTGGAGCAGACACACTGTCCCAGCCCAAGGACCCAGATGCAGAGAAGCCAGTCCTCAGTGCCAGGCAGACAGCTGGGGAAGGCCGGGGGCAGGCCACGGCACCAAGCCCAGGCCTGCAGGAAGAGGGACAGAGGTGGCCAGCCTTCCAGGACCAGCCTGGGCCATTGCCCAGTGCCTGCGGGGACCACCCAAGATGACAGCATCCCTGGCAGATGGGGACCACAGAGGCCAGCTGCTTTGGGGAATGAGCCTGGCCTGGCACAGAGTCCCTGAGGGTCCAGGCCCCAGGTCCTTTCCTGCAGCCTCGCCTTCCTCAGAGAGTGTGAGGGAACCAGGATAAGAGGGGACAGTGGGAGAGGGTCACAGACAGCAGGTCAAAGCCTGGCCCCAAGCCAACCATGTTGACAGGATGTGGCCTCCGTTCCTGAGGGGAGGAGGACAGGATGGGGTGACGGACACTGGGGCTCTCTCCACACTCAGCCGTGGCAACCCAGGACCGACCCTGAAGGTCTCTGGGAAACCCACTGGTGGAGGTGAGCCGGCCAAGGCTTCCGGGACCGCGGTTGTGGGGTCTTACTTGGAGACGGGGTCACTGCCTGTTTATTTGTCATCCACTGGTGTAGGGGCTTCACAGGATCTTAGCAGTTTCATGCTTTCTAAGGGTGACATTAGGACAGAATGACAAGTCTGTCCTCGTGTTTCCCATCCACAGGGTCCCAAGGAGGGCATCAGCTCCAGGCTCTGAAATGTCCTGCCCCCCAGGGCAAGCGCACCCGTCCTCAGCCCCCTCCTCCAAGCCATCCTCAGTGGGCGGGGTGCCCTCTGCACCTGCCCTGCGTCCATGAACAGACACCCCTCTTTAGAACTGTTCCCTGGGCCAGGGCCAGGTCAGACGCCAGGTGGCCTCAGCTGGTGTCAGGCACATCCCCAGCCAGGTGGCAGGACACCTCTGGCTGGTCCCTCCTTTCTGTCCTGAACCACAGTTCATGGCCAGGAGCAGCTTCTGGAAACCAGCCCAAGACCAAGCCAGGGGGGAAGAGGGGCATCATGCCAGGACGGTTCCCTCCACAGCCTCAGCCGTGACCTCAGCCTGCCTGCTGTTCCCGGAGCCCACTGCCATGTCCCTGGCCCCACACCCCGTCCCTCTGGCCAGCTCACGGGGTTTCCCGTATGTCCTGCCCACTGGACCATCTATCATGAGCAGCCGCTGACATCTCTG